CCCTTATATCAAAACATGCATTAATCCCTTTCGTTCTGAGAATTTATCTTGTTTTAGTTCTTAAATTACTTTTGACAAGATAGAATGATGAAAAAATGTTCAATTTAAAATTAGGAGAGATTGATTCAAGTTAAGAAAATTTTTATTTTGTCAAATCAAAACTTTTAATAAATTCAAGGCTAACATTCTCGAAACCGAATTTCAAAGAATACAGATGACTCTCAAAATTTTATTTATAAAAAATAATATAATTCTCAAAAATAGATTTTTTAGAAGTGTGCTTTGTTCTCATTAATATATTTTCAAAAATTATGTTACTTTTTGAAAAATAAATTTTCAAAAATATAATACAACTCTAGGAAATCTTATTTTTAAGAAATAAAAAATAATTTTTGTGTATAAATTATTAAAAATATTTTTATCATTTATTAAAAGTTAAACTTGACATTTGATATGTGAGCATTTTTTTCTTTAAATTTATGTAAAAAATTTTGATGGTTTATTTAAAACACCCGTTCTTTTCTTTTTCTTAAACCAATAAACTTTCACTTTTTTAATATTAATACTAGTAGAATATGTAATTATGAAATATGTACTATTTTTTGAAATATAAAATTTGTAATTAGGAATTTTTTTTCCTTTTTTATTCGTAATTAATGTGTGTCATCACAAACGATAACCCGTTGATTAACTAAAAATAAAGAAAAATTAGTGAAAAATGTAAAATTATTGCCCATTATTTTGTATAATTTCATCACCCTTAAAATTATATAAGAGATTAATAAATAACCTTGATTAACGGAATCAAAATCCGTCAATATTAGTCTAGGGTTTATACTCCTCCTTTTCCAATTCAATCACACCAAAACCATGTCATGGAAATTAGAGAGGAATTATTCAATCTTTGGGTTTTTTTTTTTTCCTAAGGTTAAAAAATAATAAACCACCAAATTTTTTTGTATCATCTTTTTTTTTTTAATTATTAAAGGTACATATGTGAATGATATTGGTACTAAAGAATGGTGGGAACGGAAATGGTTCATGACCAAAATAATTTGTTTCACCGATCAATTTCTTTACTGCCATATCTAGGAATGGCTGCGAGTCGAATCAACACGAATTTTTATTCGTTTTGAATTTAATTTGATTTTATATCTTTGAATTTAATTTAATAATTTTTTTTTTAATATTTGAACTCAATTTAATTTAATATTATATAAAATTATATCATATTTGATTCGATTCGAAATTCATAAAATATTATTTTTAAATATAAAATATTATTTTTAATATAAATATAAAATTAAATAAATAATTAAAAAATATATTTTTTATATATATTGGGTTAAGTCGACGTGAGTTTGTCTAAAATTTGATTTCGAATTTTTTTTATTATTATTTGATCAAATCTAAAATTTAATTTTTTTTAAAAAAAATAAATTTTAAAAAATCGGATCGAATCGAAATTTATCATATATGAATTGAACTGTCTTCTCTAATCATATCTGGTTGATTTTGAGCAATTAAATTAATAAAAAGCAGCCTAGAGAAATCAGTTTTTTCCTTTTCAGTTTCTTGCGGTCTAATTTAGTTACTTAGTTAAATTTGTTTAGTAGTATGATACATAGAAAGAAAATTACAAACTGTTCTATGTTGAGAGAATTACAAGAGATTCTTCATTGTCTAGGACAAATCACTTTCAAGTTTCAAACCATTCATGCCCGAAGACAGCCTTGCCTATGGAATCTAACATTAATCTTATCCCACAGTTTGTCTCTCTTTTTCCTAGTTTGGCATGTTGGTTTCTTTCTTCTTTTCTTTTTGTTCCAACTTTAATTATTAAATTGGAAGTTCAGAACAAGAACTTTGTTCCTTCGTCATTCAAAAAGATAAGCATAAGACATCCATCGAAATATACAAATGTAGTGAACTGAAGAGAAATTTTCTAAAGAGAAAGCTTCAAAATTCGGATTTAGTTTTTTTTTTCTTGGACAATTTCACAATAAACTTTAGCCTCCAAACTGATTGGGACTTGGGGCGTAAGCTACAAATTTATGTATGTAATTTATTTACTTAATTATTTTAATTTAATTAGCATCCAGTTTTAAGGTTCCATTTCTCATAATCATCATCATCGGACACGGTCCACTTGTTTTTTTTAGGCATGGAAAATGAAAGGTACCTAAAAACCATCAGCAAAGAATACAAGAAGAGGACAAAAGGTTTATATGAGAGGTTTACCTTAATAAATTTTCTATACTTTGGGACAAAGACTGCTGATTATCCTAGTCTAGTCGATTCCAATTTGATTTTTCATTTAATCACGTGCATACTTCACCTTATTTTTTAAAAAAAGTTTATTTTATATTAGTGGAGTAAATTAAACAATATCTTTTTATTAATAAGTAAATTTTCTTAAAAATATTAATTTTATATATTTCTTCTTTTATTTGACTTAATAATAATTTATATGAAATAATGCATCAATTATAAGCCATTTTTTGTTTTCACTTTTGGTATCTTCTTCTACAAATCAAGACAAAGCCTTGGCCTTCTTATTGGCCTGTGTTTTTTTTTTTTTTTTTGGTTTATTTGTGTTTGTCCTCATGCTGTCTTCATCAAACTGTAATTATCTACTCAAAATTAACAGTAAAAGAAAATAAAAAATAGGTTTTTTCTCATTTCTAACGAATTTTATTCCTCATAGATAAAATGGGGGAACAAAGGTTTTCAATGATGAATAATCGTTGACAATATCTCTTGAATTAATACACCATACAGAAAAACGCCAACTCAGCTTTGCCGCGAGGGGTTCCGAATTTGTTCTTCATATATAGAAATACAATTATCCCAAAACCCTCAATTTGGAAGGAAAATCAAATAAAGGAAGGTGACAATTTTCATAGGACCAAATCTTCCATGTTCCTGCAAATGCAAAACCAGGCACAATTTTCATGGCTGGTTTTCGATTTCTGCACTGGAAAGAAACTAGCTAGTCTCCTTTGGATATTCATTGATGACCTTTACTCTTCTCTTATCATCTGATATAGCATGTGACAAGTTATGGCAATTGTCAGCTTGCCTGTTGGTGGGAAAGGCCTGTTGAGGATCTTACCTTGCCATGGCTTGAGCAAATGAATTCTTCATAGGAAATGGGTTCCATAAGAACTAATTTGCTTAGACGAATACCTGAGATTAAGATTGGACCTTCATTTCATCCTTGCCTTCAACAAATCCTGCTTAAGCAACTAATCATCCATTGCACCAAATATGACTGAGAATAATAAGTTTAACATTCCTAGTAGCTTGCAATGCAGCAAGTTACAGGCACAATTTTTTCTGAAATGAAGATGACCTTGAATAAATTAATTGTTTATATGAGCATGTATCGGCAATTAAGAAAATAAATAGACTCCTCAATTTATGCATATGAAATTCATAAACAACAAAAGAATAAAAAGAGTTCTCTTGTTCTTCCCTTTAAGCTATAACAACCAATAAAAGTGTAAAATACCAAACCTGCAAAAAATTCTATAGCTTCTTTGCCCAAAGGACATTGCTGTGGCTTCATTGGAACATTTTCAGTCTATAAACTGATGAATGCCATGACCGAATTGGAGCAATCAGTTTCACTTGCATTCCTATAGATCCAATGCAACAGTACAAGCACATAAATAGTGGAGTAATGACAGGAAGAAATCCATGAAGAATAATCAGTAATCATTCAAGCCTCTCTCTTATTGCTCCAGCCAAAGAACTCCATGCAAGCAGGCAATGAACTAACCACTAATTATCAAAACAAATTGATACTCCATCTTTCCTCGTGGTTTTTGGACATGGAAAATGATGAAGTGGACAACCCTGTCCTGTGTATAGTTATGTTGTTTATTCTGCTGTGTTCACCTTTCATTTAAAAAGAACTTCAACACGATGTTTGCTTTCAAGAACTATGTTATTAGTCCTGCAATTTGCAATAACAATGAAAGTTGAATCATTAGAACAATTGATTGCCTTCATCCAATCTATTCTACACAACTCTGCTGCCAACGATTGCACTCTTTCATGCATGGCAAAACTAAGTAGAGAGGCAAAACCAGGTTTATTTCAGATGCTATTGATAGCATCATCATATTGCATAACTGATCCTGCTTACAGCCTGACTTGTTCTAAAATTCACTATAATGTGCAATGCAAGAAATTAGAGTGCAGATATTTCCTTCTGTGTACTTGGTATCATTTTTTCTTGATCTTTTTCAGTCATTCAATCAGTTATTCCAGGGTAGGCCTCTAACTTTACTGATTAATAGCATCAATTTTCAGTACTATTACTTTTCAACGTATAACTGACTCAGAATGCACCATGATATCATAAATATTTTTCTATGGCATATTTGGTGTAATGTATGACTGTCCTCAAGGAACATAAACTGTCCATGAAGAGCACTCTCAGTCTTCTCCACTGGTTATATACTAGACGGGTGATAATGCAGCAAAACATGTACTGTTGACCACAACTCTCTTAGCACATTATTTGGAAATGACCGAGCCCTAACAAAATGATCGCTGAGTCAAGATTATAAGAAGTCAAGAAACATATCTACCAAATGATAGGAGACCGGACTCTCAATTGCTAACATGATCATTGAGGCTAACATGGAATGAATGTTATCAATTGTTGAAACTGACACATCATAGTACCATAGACTAACTAAGCATAATTAATGCATCATAGTACCACAGCCTAATTAAGCATAGTTAATCACTAACTAGACACAGTTTGTAAATGAGACAGATGGTTATCAATAAACATACTAAAGTGAGAATTTATAGTGCCAATGGAGACATTTGTTCTTCATATGCTACGAGAGGCAACGACAGAAAGGCGACAACTTTAAGGGCTAATGTCATTAGCTTGTGCATTTAATTTCTTCAGTTTCCTGTCCTATATATATGCATCTCCAACCAACAAGAACTTCATTCTAAAACATCTCAGAAGGCTAATATAACATTCCTTTTTAACCTTCTTGTTTGTTTTTCTGTCCTCAGATTTTTTAGCAATGTCCGGCTCAGGCAAGAAAACTAAGGGCAGGCGAAAGATTGAGATGAAGATGATAGAGAATGAGGATGAAAGGTTGGTCACATTCTCAAAACGCCGATCAGGGATCTACAAGAAAGCAAGTGAGCTAGCTACTTTATGTGGTGCTGAGGTTGGTTTTATTGTCTTCTCACCCGCAGGTAAGCCCCATTCATTTGGTCACCCCTCTATTGAATCTGTTGCTAACCGCTTTCTGAACGAAAACACCTCTCCAAATGACAACACTCATCCTCTTGTGGAAGTTCACCACAAGCTGAGGATCAATCAGCTAAGGCAGCTTTTAAATGAGTTGCTTAGCCAACTGGATGCAGAGAAACAAAAAGCAAAAGAGCTTGATCAGCTGGCAAAAAGGAAAGAAACTCAAGGCTGGTGGGGAGCTCCCATTGATCCACTTAACCAGCAGGAGCTCCAAGAACTATATGCATCTTTTGAGGAGATTCGCAACATTCTCTATAGCATCATAACTGAGAAAAGTGCTGGAGCCACTTCTTCACTGCTTGCTCCAACGGATCCTGCTCAGTTGACCAATCCATTTACTACCAATGCTAGTGAGGAAGTTCCTGCTTCCTTTCCCCCTGGCTACAACCATGGTCGCCAGCAGTTCTGAACAACTCAAACTATCTTCAGAGTCTTGTTTCCGAAGCAGGAATTTTCGCCTGCTTCTTTGGTTAAGTAAAATCTTTTACTTATCCAAAAAATAAACTTTAGTTGTTATTTATTGCTTTCTTATTGATCTTAGGCTTGTGAATTTTGGAATCGCTAAAGACATGCATGATCATGTTCATGTAGCAAACCAATATTTAGTCTATGATCTGTTATAGTAGTCCTGTCTGCCTAGGACTATTTCAGTTATGTATCCCAGTATCAGCTATCTTATTTCAATAAACTGGTAATTAATAAAGTTTTTTCTCCATTCCTATCACTATTACTGCTTGAGTGAAAACTTTTCTGCCAAGTAAACCTTTTAACTCAACCTTTATTGATGACTCAGTTAAATTTCCATTCATATGTTGCTATCAGGATAACCTTAAAATATTTTCATATCAAGGATACAGAATAATATATTACAAAGGACTATGTTCAAGTTTCCAAATCAAGTTTCGCTGCCATATAATTAAAATTAATGAAATTTCTTGAAGACTGCTCTACAATGATTTATTATCTAGCTAGTTTTCACTGCAGGATTAATTGCAGATCTTCTTAACAGACACAGCCTTGTCTTTAAGAAACTATTTGCACTGTATGGAATTTATGGTAGGAATATTCCTTGTTTATATTTTCACACTTTATACCACTCGTTGATAATATTTGCATAGAAACTGGTTGCTTTTGCCAAATTCATGGTGATGAAAAAAAGATTCCTTATCGCTGGTAACTGCATTAATGTAACTCTTTTAAGTCTCAATATCACACTGCCTTGTGAATGGAATTGAATAAACGGTAACAATATAACTTCATTTCAAGTATTTTTGTTTACTTTTTCTTCTCTATGTTTCCATTCATTCTGTTTCCTGTTAATTAGGCATTCTAGTCCTTCTAAAAAGTGCCAAAACCCGAAATCTTCAGAGCAAATTTTCATATCAAAAGCACAGATTTAACATGAAAATTGGTTTCTACATATGATTCCATTGGTTTTTTTTTTGCTGATATTTGATTCCATTGCTTTACATTATATGACAACATGAATTAAGGAAAAAAAAATTATTGATGCCAACATAAGATTAATAAAGGTTACAAGCTCACAGTTTTTACTGGTTTTAAGTTAAACCAAGATTAACCCTCTACCACACACCAACAATTAATATAACAATTATGGATTTTTTACTTGGGTGGACAGAAGAATGAAGGATTTTGGTAGGTTTGCCTTTGACACCCTGGTTTAAGAGGATTTTGCCTGGTCAATTAAAGCCACAGGAAAACCCAATAAGTTCTCCATTCATGACAAATCATGTTTCCTAAAAAGATTATTACATTGACAAATAAAGTAAATCATTGAATAGTAAGTTGTTTTGTTATAAATTGTGCCAATTTAATTCTTAATCTTTTTTAATTGTTACAGCCTTAATCTTTCTGTCAATTAATGACTCTGTAAAGATCGGTGAAATGTGCATGTAAGCAGCTCCGAGTAAGCACTCGGTGGGACCAATTTCGTTGACGGAGTTACACACATGGTGTTTTATTAAATTAGGACAAGGTTGAGTTCAAATATTCTGTTCTTCCCATTAGCTCCAAAGTTTTGCAATAAGAGAATTAAATTGTGCCAACAAACAATGTTTAAAGTTTCATAGAGTAACCCAAATTAGGAAACCTGCTTAAATTCTTTCCATTTTGGGAAAAATAATCATGGATGGAAAGGAAATAATATAGGATTAATAAGGGATTTAAATAGGGATCTTGGTCACGTTTTCGATCGCATCGTGTTTATCGTGTTTTTGGATATAACAAAAATTATTTTGGTCATTGCTGTTATCTTAGTTGTGAATTTTTTTTTTTGCACAATTTATTATAAAATGTAATAATTATAATTATAATTATAATTATAAAAACTATTATTTAATGATTTTAAAAATAGTTTATGACACTATTTTTTTATTTTTAAAAAAATTATTCACAATTTTATTTAGATTATAAAATTATAAATTTCATATACAAAATTATAAATTAATATATAACACAATCAAAATATAATATTTAATTTTAATTAATTTTTGTCTAATTTATACAAAAAATTTTATCAAAATTTTTCATCTAAAATCTCTATATATATCATATTAAATTATTAATCTCTTAATGTTTTTAATTATAAATCTTCAATCCCTCTAATTAGATTTTATCTAAAAAACTTTCAAAAATTAAAAATTTTCAAACTTATATTTTTTATTTTTTAGTTTTTAATCTTAATAAGAATAATAGATCATAAAATGCTAAATTTATTAAGTAACTTAATCTTTTTTATACACTAATTGATACAAATTTTTTTATCAAAATAACTTTCAATCATTATATAATAAATATAATCTTCAATAATTACACAAAAATAACAAGAACTAATCTAATATCAAAAGAATTGATAACAATATAAATATCAAAACAATAAAAAAATTAAAATTCAGATACAAAATTATAAATTAATATATAACACAATCAAACTATAATATTTAATTTTAATTATTTTTCATCTAACTTATACAAAAAAATTTATCAAAAATTTTCATCTAAAATCTCTATATATATTATATTAAATTATTAATATCTTTTTTTTTTAATTATAAATTTTCAAAACCTCTAATTAAATTTTATCTAAAAAAATTTTAAAAATTAAATAAAAAATTCAACCCCCACCTTCCCCCAACGCCCCACCCCACCCAATCCCTCCCTACATGCCCCAATATCCCCCAATTTGTTTAATTCTAGCAGACCCATCTAGAAACGCAGCTTGCTTTCTTCTGTTAATTTTTTTCGTGCTTCCAGAGCTTGGCCTTGAAGAATTTTTTCTTTTTTTTTTTTTTCATCTCTTATTTTCTCTCGCATCCCTTCATCATTATCACTTACCTAGTACCTACAGAATACCTCGTTTGTCTCTCTCAAAATCTCACAACAAACATTATTTTATAAAAAATTTTACAAAAAAAAAAATAATTTAACTTTCTTTTCTTACCTTATTTGATCTTGAATGTTGATTAAAAACTTGAGGCTGATTTGAATTTAGATGTTGAAGTGCCAATTGAATGATTGAAATAATTCATCTATTTTTTAACTTAATTTTAGATTAATTTTGATGCTAAAGATTTGAGATTTTTTAATATTATTTTTTGCTTTTACTTTTATTTTTGCAAGCTTATTGCTTTATTTTGCAGCTTTAAAATTTTATTTTTTTCTTGAACTATTAGATCCATGAGTAGGAAAACAGAATAATGCAATTACGGTCCGTTATTACTACTATTCTCTGTTAGGTCATTATTTTGCAGTCATTACGCATAGTTTTTGCTGTGAATGAATTTCTCGATCATATTTCATCCAATAACAATGACGGGTTGTGACGTTACCGTAATTTTATGACCGTTATTTCGCTATTAAACCGCTATTTGAATCTTAGGGATTAATTTGTAATATCAAATAATCCAAACGTTTTCGACTCATATAACCCTTCAATTTCACTAGTTTGTTCTTATAAATGTACTTGATCTACCGTGAGAGCAAAGTCTCATCCCCAATATATTTGTGAAAAAAATCATGTGCGTGCGAAAATTTGAGATGGAAATGGTGAAGGATAGCAGCTCGAGGCAGGTCACTTTCTCCAAGCGCCGATCAGGGGTGTTCAAGAAAGCAAACGAGCTTGCTACCCTTTGAGCTGCTCAAGCTGCCATCATTATTTTCTCCACTGGATGCGAGCCCTTCTCATTTGGGCATCCAAGCGTTGTTTCTAAATCAGGACACGAAACCAAAAGTTTCTATTCCATGCCAGGTTGAGTCTCAGCAAGAGACTAAAGTTGAAAGCTTTTGTCAACAACTTAATGACCATCTCAAGCAGCTACAGGCGGAAAAGAAGTGAGGAGAGATGCTTGATAAGGCGATCAAGGCAAGAGGAAAACACAAGCACCAAAAACCAATAGACGAACTCAGCCTGCATGAGCTTTTGGAGATGAAGTAATCAATGGAGGAGCTTCGTGAGAATCTTAAAGGGCGGGTTAGCGAGATTGAAGCATCGTTTTCTTTGCTGCTTCTATCGAACAATGCTGTCAAAGAAGCTGATCACGATTCATGAATAATTAAGTAGTCAAATGGCTAAAAATGAAAAAAAAAAAAGAAAAAGAAACCTGTACACCATCTCTTAAACACCGAATGAAAATATACAAGGAGATGTTTGTTTTCTTGAATAGAATTGATCCAAATTTCCCATATTTTACTATAATTTTGGTATAGTTTGATTCTTATTTTCTCATAATACATTCTCCAAAATCATTTCCTAATGACATACTCTCACCAATTCCTGTTACATTAAAGCTATAAGCTATATATATATATATTATGTTCAAAATACGAAATATTTGCTGCTATGCCGATGTATAACATCTTAGTATGTCCAATGTTACTAAAAATTAGATAAGTTTATCTAAAATAATCATAAATAAACTGTTAGATAAAATAAATTACATAAAATTAGATAAAAATAGAAATATAGCATCTTAGTATGTCCAAATTTACCTTAATTTGCAATTATAAATTGGTAAAGCAAACGATACTATCATGAATCGGCAAATTATGAAAATGAAAGAAACAAAATTCAAGCAAGAAGACTGTATGTACCTATGTCTTGACCGTTAGGTTTACGACAGCTTAAATATTATTTGTTAGGATCATGATAGTTATGATATCAGTTGTTAGATCAAAAAGTTTTAAATTAATTAATCATCCAAGTCAGTGAAAGCAATTTAACGTAATTCATCTCAATCGACTTACGTCTAGAAATGAAAAAAATAAAAAAATTATGGATAAATATCCCATAGAACTATGGGAGATTGAGAGTATTTTTGTGGGTGTCTATGTTTGAGTGGATTAGAGAAGGATGAAACAGTTCACATAAATATGTTGTATAGATATATATATGAGTGTATGTTCGTTTGAGTTAAAAATATTATATAAAACTAAAGTAGAATGAGAGAGTTTATGGGTATTTATTTTTACCTTGATTCAAATTTCATCAAATTATCATTTTTCATACTAGACATACTTAACTCCACCCGTAATGAAAATCTTGTAACAATATTCTCTTGTATGTTTTCAAGTTTCATGTAAACCAATTTTTAAAATACGAACTCAAACTTTTCCTTTGAAGTAAGCTCCTTTAAGCTTAACTTTTCTTATGTCTCGAACCTGACTTTTGATACCATTTGTTAATATCATGACAACTCCGATACTACTTGTTAAGATCACGATGGCCTAATATCGGTTATGATGCAAAAAGCCTAAATCTAATTAAAAATTCATGCCAACATAAGCATAATCAAACAATCAATTTTTAACAAAACAAGAATAGGATCGACAACCCAACTCGCTTTTGACGGGTTCTAACCCGACCTGACCCCATAAGATTAATTTTTCTTTTTGAAAATCGTGTTTCAGGTTGGGTCGGGGTCGAATTTGAGTTTTAGGCAAACTCGATCCAACCCGATCCGATATTATATAAAAATTATTTTTTAATTATTTATTTTATATATTTATATAATTATATATTTAAATATTTATATTTTTAAAAAATAATATTTTATATTTTAAAAATAATAATTTATTAATTTGGGGTCGAGTTAGATCAGGTATGATTTATACAATGTCGGATCAGGTATGAAAAAATAAAAAAAATTTAAATCGGGTTTAGGGTAAGAAAAACTCGTCTCGACCCGACCCGTTGCCAACCTTACATAAGAGATAATAATTTAACTCTACTTTGACTCAAATTTCATCAAATTATCATTCTTCATACTAAACATGCTTTATTCTACCTATAATGAAAGTCTTATAACAATTTTTTCTTGTGTGTTTTCAAGTTTTAGACAAAACTAATCTTCAAAGTACGAATTCAAACTCCTCACTTGAATCAAGCTTCTAAGTTTGCCTCTTCCTATATCTCAAACCTACCTTCTGATACCATTTGTTAATATCACGATAGTTTCAATACAATTTGTTAGGATCATGATAGCTCTAATACTAATTGTTAGGCCAAAAAACCTCAATTTAATTGAAAATTCATGCCAACAAAAACCTAATTAAATAATCAATATTCAACAACACAAGAAACGATAATTTAACATAATTTAACCCAACTAGCTTACGTTTATGGATGAAAAAAATTTGCTAATTGTAGGGAATTGTAACATATAATCTCAATTAATCATTTAACAATTAATAACTATAAACTTTCTTATTCTCTTTTAGTCTTATAAAATATTGTCAACTTAAATAAATATATATCAATATACTTGAGTACATAATATTTATATATACCATCTCATTTTTCTTTAAATCACTCACATATATATAAAAATATTAATATTTTATAATTTTATGAAATTTCTATATCATATAACTCTATAATTATCTTATATCTTTTTTTTATATTTAACTTTATAAAAAATTCTATTTATTTATAAACATACAAATTTATTTATTAAAAATTTATTTTTTAAAATTTTATATATCAAAGAATATTTAATCAATCTCATTTAAATAAATTTTTGTTCGAATCTTTATAGAGATTCGAGTCAATCCCGTCGACAGTGTTGCATGTAACGATGGAAAAAGCAGCTGCCATGTGCATGCAAAAAATCAGTTAGTTTCTGCGGTTTTCAATAAAGCATGCCCGATTAAAGTTATACTAAATAGTAATAAAAAAAATGATGGTGTCCTGGGCTTTGGGAAGAACAGAAAAAGCCATATGCCTAGAGCTTCATACATTATGGAGATTTGATAATTGATAAAATATTAGGGGTTCATGGCTTATATTATATTGCATGCTCATCCCTTGCTTTGTGGGCACGGGCCCTGCCATGGAATTGTTTAATTTGAGCATTTTCTTGAATTTGTTTGCAAAAGGAGTGACCAACTCCATCACGTTTTTGTTTCCATGGTTTACATAATATTGTTTATTCCTATTATGTTTCTTCACCATCTTTGGACCACACCCTTTCGAGTTATTGATGATTACATTTAGAGAAAAAATTTTTAACTCTTCCATCACGATAATTGTAGGTCGACTTCTTGACACATGTGGCTAAAAATTTATTCGTTTTTTATCTTTCCCATGCCATGTGTACGTTATTGTGAAATTTCTGGTTTAATAAAATTCCGTTGTAGTATACCATTTTTTGCAGTTATATAAAAAACATAGGTGAACTCTTATAAAAATTGTGGGTTCTTCTCCAAAGTCTCTGAATTTCTTTTCCCAGCACCAATTAATTTAGTCCGAACCTTAATTGGGTGTCTTTTTTTATTATTTATTATGCCTGTATTAGAACCATGTCAGTCAGTCTATGATACTTTTTTAGAAGAAAAAATTATAGAATTCCATCATTAGGAATGAGTTGGAGCATCTGTATGATCATGCTTGAAAAATGGAAAAAATATAAAAAGGAAACAAAAATATTATTCGCAAATCTTTAAAAGAAAAAATATATATTTTTAAACCGGCCAAGCATAGAATCTGGAAACTAGCTAGGTTTGATTGGAACCTTTATTCCCTTAGGAGAAGTCCTCAAACTTTAAAGTACTCTAGCTCAATATCAAAACAGCAACTAATTGGTTTCTTAGAGAAGACTATTGGGTATTATTACATCAATAAAAATAAAATTAATTGACAGAAACCTAGACAGATGATTCTGTTTTTGTTGGTTTCCACCAGCAAAGATTCGATTGAGTGCTGCAAAACCATGGATTTATTAAAAAAAAAATGATTATAATTAATCAAGAGCACTTTGAAAAGATGAATTCATTTTTTTTTTAATACAAAGAAGGTGGTAACTAAATTAAGGTCAGTTTCAAATTCAAGCACCATGCTTAACACTAGAATCTACGGACAAATTGTGGCTAATTGGAAACAAAAATATCAGTGCTGCCAATTTGAATAGAATATAGAGAAGTTGTTTTCAAAGTTTTGAAGTTCAGTGCTGGGGTTTTTGCTTTCGGTAAGATCCCAAATTCCATTCAAGCATCTGCTACTTTTTCAAGCTATAGCTGAAACTAGTTGTGTTTGTCAAATGACACAATTTTTCCTTTTCCTTTTCTTTTTTTGTACATTATCATATTGACTTTTTTTTTTAACTTTATAAGAGAAAAATGACATGTCGAAGAAATTTACTTGATTCGATGACATTTCCACATGAATGACTAGAAAGAGATAGAACCCACAAAGGCAACTACAATATGAAACTAAAATGTAAAAGAAGAGTAGATTCTTTGACATCTTCCATGTTCTTAAAACAGGACAAAACTATTTTTCCCAGTGCCATTAGTTTTTCATAGGATGGCATCACACCCCATTACTAGGTTATTCACACGTATAAGTAAAAATTTCAAAATTAATAAGCGTTTACGATTCTATTAAGGTATATATATTTTTTTAAGAAGAAGAACTTAATAATGTAAAAGATATAAATAATATTTTTTTTTGTTTTTTAGTTTATAATTAAGATTTTAACTTGTGACTTTTAGTTTTAAAATCGATTTTAATATTGTTAATCTAATAATTTATTGATAAATAATATGACTTTTAAAATTATACATTTAAACATTAAATTTAATGATAAATACATTTTTTTCTTCCAAAAATTAAGTCTGAAATCACAAAGTTGTATGAAGTTATTGATATTGAAGTACAAAAGGGAATTTTTTTTTTATTGAGCTTTAGCAAAGAATTGGGAATAATTTTCAAAATAGAGGGACCATGATCAGCCACATGTATTTGACGCAGATCTAAATGAACAGCTAAATATTGGAAGGAAAGGAACATTTTATTTGAAAGAAGACTCCACGCGCATGGGTACTTTCTCAGTTTCTTCCCATCTAATAATTTAGCGTGGTGGCCTTCGCACTTCCTTTCTTTTTAACCGGAAAAGGAAAAAATATAAACCACTTCCCGACCTTAGCCCGACTTTTTTTTTTTTAAGTTAATTTATGAATAATTTTTAAATTATAACAAAATATTTATTTAAATTTAAAATTTTTTCATTTAATATCTAAATTAAAAATTTATTAATTAATATAATATTTAAAAAAAATTTTATGTTTAATGTATAATCATTTAAATATAATCACATTAAAATAAATATCATATTAATTAATAAATATATAATTTAAACATTACATTAATTTTTTTAAATGTTACATTAAATATTTTCAAATACTTTAGTCATCATTCGTTATATTATCTCTTCTTTTATAATTTTACTTTGTCCAGTGCTATTATTAATGCCAAGATGCTATTCTTCGAAAACTGGAAATAGCCATTTTTAATATTTCTAAATGCAAACTAAAATTGAAATTCCAATTTTGTCCACTTGGCCACGTTATACACCAAAAACAACCATTTTGTCCGTGCATCTTAAGAAACTGAACTTTTCCTCCCCGATATATATCTGCCTCTCAACTCCTCTTCTACCCCAGGCCAAGGGCCAAAAAATTAAAAAATATATATAAAGGAAGATAAAAAGAAAGTGATGGGTAGAACGAAAAGATGGGTGTTTTTCAAGAGGTTGATCAAGAGAGAAACATGGAAGTGGAAGTTTTTGGGTTCTGCTTTCAAGTGGAAGAGGCTAAACATTCAGCTTTCTTTCATTGATGATGTACTCTTCAGGATAGCGTCAGTTTTAGAGGCTATTTTCTTGGTGGCTACCCTCTGTTTCTTCTATCTTTGTTGTGGCTGTCACTTTTGACAATTGTATGTATGCATGTACTATGTATCTATCTTTCTTCCTTTCTTTCTTTCTTTCTTTTTATTTTCATTTTTGGGGTGTAGTAATATTCTGATATCTGAGTTCTGACCTGGGTTTTGAGAGGAAAAGTGATTCCATGGGGGTATTAATGGAGAAGAAATTGCTTTTTACCCATTATGTAGGCTTTGAATTCCAGGACTTGTTTGGAGTACTTGAAGGGTGGTCGAAAACTGGAACTGCAGGGAAGAAAGCTAAGTTGGTAACTTCAGCCTTTGTTGGGGAAGTTTTTTAGTTAATGCATAGTTTCTTGATGTATAAAGTTAATGGTTAATTAAATTAACTTCTGTTGGATAAATGTTCTCTTGTTTTACTTTTCCTCCTTTCTTTTTGTTCTTTAAAGTTTCATGAGTTTGGTTCTCTTTGGTACATGGTTGGTTAAAAGAGGGGGACACATTCTTCACTGGCATCTGTAGAAGATTGATTGATTTGAGCCACTTTCAATTTCCATATCTGAGTGTTCATACTTGATACAATGATGCCTTTGAATACAGGTGTCTGGCTCCTTGAGCCTTTGATGAAAAAGCCCATGGTCTTGTTTTGCTTTTATAATTCAGAATCCTTGATTGATGTTATGGCAGCTTTTAGTAGTAGGTCATTGCAATACATTATTGATTAAGCCTTCTTTTTTCACCCTTTTTACATGAATAAATTCTTTTCTTTACTGTCAAGTGTTAACCAAGGAAAATGTGAGGAATTTGCTACTTAACGTGATAATGTTTAAGGGTTAGAGTTGCCCAATTCACCAGGTTATGACTTTTGAGTAGAGTTGTGCAGGACAGGAATATTTAGGTTCTGAAGTCTCCTTGGAGAAACAAGACAATCCAACCAAATTTAACAAAATAAACGAGACAAAGGCAAAGGCAAGCCTAGGAGCAGAACCAAACACTCTCATTTAGCTAGAGACTCTAGGATCTTGGGACTGTCCAAAGTCTGATGTATTTGATTCTTTAACTCCATTTATTCATGCATGTATAGCTACATAACTTTTGAAGTTTGCAGAGCCTTTATTGTAAAATATAGATACAGCAGGAAAATAAAACCCTTGCACGTGCAACTGGCATCTATAATTGTCAATGGAATTGCCAACTCCATGGTTCAGTGAACGAAAGTGGCGAACTCGTTGTGTGCCTGTGTTAGACGAAACAAATTTCCAGCATAATAATTAGCAGGCCCAAGCTTCACAAAATCACCTTCTGTTAGTATTACTCACTCTGTAAAGTTCCTGTTGGGACGCTTGACCCTTCAAACAGTAATTTCTCCACTTAATCACTGAAGTAACAATATATCTGGATTTGTGTTTTTGTTCCTCCCCTGTTTGCTCCATATATTCAAGAAGTACCCTGTACCTTTAAACTGGTTACTAGGCAATGGCTAGTTCCCTTCCAGAGATGTAGGCGGGTGGCTTTACGTGTTGGAAAGAATAATCAGTGAAGACAAAACGAGGTGACGATGATCTCAGCATTCTTTTCCAGGAGAGATTGGGGCACAAGGAAACGTGTGAAGTTGAAGAAACTGTATTGATTTGGAGTTGGTTTGCCGTATTGGTCTTATTTTCAAACGCAAATCAATAAAATATCGTTAAACTTCAAATTAATGACAAAACACAGGCTTAGCTGTAAGCCTGCATCCTGCGACAAGTAAACGCTAGTAATTGGTCAATTTAATTTTAAAAAATTAATAATTAAATTAATTGATTTTTATTTAATAAAAAATTGAGTTAATAAAAAATTTTTAAATAATCAATCATAATCAAATAGATTAAAATTAATTTAGTTGATTTAGTTAAATAATAAAATTTTTTATCATTTTTTTTATATGAATAATTATTTAACTATAAATTTAATTCAATAAAATTTTAACTCAAATATTATTCAAATTAAAAATTAAAAAATTTAATAATTTCAATAATATTTTACAAGGAAAAACAAATAAAAGCACTCATTTTAATTTTTTACTTTTACTTATTAAAAAATCAATTAATTTAGTAGGTTTGGTTATTAATTTTAAAAATAAAAAATTAACCGATTTAATGAATTTAATTGATTCAAAAAATTGATTATAACCAAAATCAAATACGCCAAATCGAATCAACTAAATTCATTTAGTTTCAATCGATTTAGTATCGATTTAAATTAACTGACCCTAAAAAGAATAAATTTTCATCTCTGGAATAAAGAATAGATAGAGTAATATTACTATATTATACATATACATGAAAACAGTTTCTTTCATGCTAGAATAATTTAAGCTATACTCAAAATTTTTAACAAGCTAAAGCAAGAACTATAAGTAATATTGGTAAAAAACTATTCAAGTGATAAGGAATTTTTCCCTTAGAGAAAAAAAGATGTGTGAATTTGGATGACCCTCGTAGCATTAAATAAGGATGTAAATGATACATTAGTATTTATAAGTTACTCGGATTCGATTCGATTAAAACTTGAATTTGATTTGATAATTGTCGAGCCAAACTCAAACCCTAACAGCTCAATTTATCGAATGAGCCAAATTCATCATATTAGTACCCAGCTCAAATAACTCGCGAGCCTACTCGAGTTTTTCTATTATATATATTTTTATTATTTTATTTATAAAATTATTACTTACCCTTAACTTAAAAAACCATAAATTTTCATTTTCTTCTTTCCTTTTTTCTTCTCGTTTCTCTCATCTCACTAAAAAATCCATATGCATGCGATAACCTTTCCTCTCACTCTCTTCTAATCTTTTTGAAGCTGGTTCAGACCATAGCTAACTTTTTTCATATTTATATATATAAAGCACCTGCCAAATGCTGGTCATCATCACTATCAAGTATTATTACTAAGGTTCTAACACTCAAAGCTTAGCTCCCTCGTTTTCTCCTTTCCCCAAACTCCCTTAGTAAACCCTCTATCTTTTTCTCTCTTTTTCTCTCCCATGTACATTTTATGTCTACATTGAAGATTTTTTGTTTATGATCTGTTATTGGCTTTGGTTCCTTATTTTTGTTTTTTGGGTTTTTGTCTTTTTTGTTTTTTTGGTCTTTTCCAAGCTAAGGTTTTTTAGTTGAGTTATGTGTTTTTCTTTTCATTTTTTTAGATCTTTGTTTTAGGATGAATATATGATAGAGGTATGATATTAAATTTTCTTTCCTATGCTAAAATGAAAATTTCAAATTTTTATTTGGAAAAGTTTGGAACTTGAAACCAAGAGAAAATAAAAGGAATAGCTTTTGTTCTTGGGTTGATTGTTTATTGTTATACACCAAAGGTAGCCATACTCAACTTAGACAATAAAAAAGAGATTAATTTTTGTTAATGAAAGGTACACTTTGTATTTATGCACTAAAAGAGTCTAGAAATGTGAAAAACCATTTATTTCTATTGATTTTATGTGGTTAGTCATTTACTCTGTTTGCTTTAGTTATTTTCAATGTTTGCCTTTCCTTGATATTAAGGTCAGATGTTCATGTCCTTGTTTGTCTTAATACATTCTATGAAACAATGAACTTATATGTCAATGTTGTTGATAAAAAAATGAACTTGTTCGTGACGAGGGTTAATAGGTGAGGTGGATGCCTTAGGTTATTGTGATTCAGTGTATCATTATGTATAAAGCTTTTAAATTACAGCATGTAGTAGGTGGTAGTAAGCTTTTACATTACATGAAGTTCATATCCTGCAACTTATTCACGTTATTGATTCATAATAAGGTGTTTGTTTTCAACATGTTGTTAAAAGGAACGGGACAAAAGTTCAAATATTAATTTTTGTAGTTTAGTCATTTGTGCATCTTGGAGACTTTCCTAATTTATTTTTTCATACATTTTGATTCTTGTTGTACCTTTTGGCAAGTGCTACAATGTGGTTTTTAACATTGACTTCTTTTTGCTTAAAATGGGATGGGGCAAAGAATTGGAAAATAAGTAGACCAAGCTTATAAGAGCATCCATACTTTGGTTTACTTACAATGTATGCCTATTTCTTTAATCTTTGTTCCAAATGATATTAGCTTCTGCTTGTTCTATTGTGGGGGTATGAAGAAAAAAGGAATGGAGACAAAAAGTAAGTTAAGAGTATGGCAATAAAGATTACTTCCATTTTTTAGAAATTATTGTGAAGGTAAACCATGAATCGTTCATGTCTAGTATGTTCTTAAAAGAAAAGGTGTTGATGTGTGTTAAAGTATGAAGCCTTAAGTGAAAAGCAGATAGCCCTTAGCTAGCCTCTTTTTATAGTGTTCTAGACATTAATTGTCTTGTTAATACAAAAATGGATGGTATGTTCCTTTTTCATTTACAGTATTTTCAAGTTACAATTTTACTCACATCTTTTTATGTAGATCTTTAAAGGCATTTAGAAGAGTCCAAAAAGTAATGAGCTATAAATATAAAAATTTTCTTACACTTCTCCTGAAACTTTGGATAATAGTTATATGATTTGTCATACCTTCAATCCTATATGTTTGATCATATACTAGAGAATTTAATGAATCAAGAGATAGAAATATTATTTGACCCAATGTATTTTATATCTACAGAATGTCATTCAATAAGGTCATACATAAGCATGATGCATTTCTTTTTTCACTCTTGAACTTATAAATGTGCATCCATTTTTCCTTAACTTAGCCCCTACTCTTTAACCCCAACCCTTCTTTCAAACATAAGAAAAAAGATTAAACCGAGTTCATTTTAGTAATTATTCTTACCTTGTTTCTTTGAATTGCACATAAGGCATTCATTAAAAATGTAAAAAGTTATAACTCTATTTGCCAATCAGTGTCAGCCCAAATTCTAATTTATATGTTTTTTTAAGCATTTGTGTTGATTTTAACTTTTATAAAACCTTCTGGAGTTTACAGGTTAGTTATGCTGCCACTTTGAACTTTTATAAGTGTATGTTTACTTCTCTCTTAGTTTCCAAAAATATTTATTAGTCATTATAAGCCTAAAATTGGTTAGTTTATTAGTAGAAATTTAAAGGTATGATAAGATCACGGTGCAAGTATGTCTGGTGACTTGCAATAATAAAGACTTAAAGGCAAGGTACCTATAAAGCTATTGTTGTCGAGCTCAAGAATGTCAAGGCATTGGAGATTTTAGTTACTGCATGTTTAATATCAATTTAGATTTTATTTATTTACAAAGTTACTACCACCCCATTACATTTTAGTCCTTAATCAATTGTCATATCTGGCAAAGACTATGTATATTGCTTGCAATTCCCATAGATGGTTATCATTTACTAGTAAATTCCATACTCTTCCAATAACTTGTTTATAGCAATTTGTTTGGCATGTTTCTCACAAAAGAATTACCATACATGTTTCTAACAACTTGTTTGGCATTATTGTTTGATCCCAAAATTGAATTATTTTTTTAATTTATCTTTTTTTTTCATTATAGAGATACAACAATGTCATCAACCACACCAAATATCTCTTATATACCATTTTAGTCGACAACAAATTCTTTTGCTAGCTGAATTGTGTCAAATGATGATAATGATTCAATGAATGAAACTTCGATGCTACTGATGGTAACACAAATAACACACTAGTCATCAATACCAATGATAGAGAATATGATGATGTTGACCCTGAAGAGTGTGTAAAGGTAATGAGAAAAAAGGCAAAAAACATTTACATTTTGGTTGGAGTTCAAAAAAGTTAGTTTCCTTGATGGTTTAAAAAAAAAGGAGTGTGTCCATTACAAGAAGAAGCTAGCAATAAATGCAAGTAA